AAAAAGATCATCCAAGTCAGCTTTATTCCAGAGATGCAGGGATGGTTCAATAAGCATAAATCAACAAACATCATAAATCATATAAATGTACTCAAAGACAAGAATCCATGGTCATCTCAATATATGCAGAGAAGGCCTTTGAAAAAATTCAAAATGCATTTATGTTTAAAGTCCTAAGAGGGAATTGGATTGGAGGGAACATACTTCAAATAATTAAAGCTATATATAACAAACCCATAGTCAACATCATTCTAAATGGAGAAAAACTGGAAGCATTCCCATTAAAATCAGGAACCAGACAAGGATGTCCACTATCTCCACTCCTTTTCAATATAGTGCTTGAAACTCTTGCAAGAGCAGTAAGACAAGAGAAAGAAGTTAAAGGAGTAATAAATTGGAAAAGAGGTCAAATTATCCCTTTTTGCAGATGATATGATATTGATTTAAGAGATGCCAAAAATTCCACCAGAAAACTAGAAATGATTAACACTTTTGGTAAAGTGGCAGGCTACAAAATGAATCTACAAAAGTCTGTGGCCTTTCTATATACCAATAACAAGTGATCAGAGAAAGAGAACATGGAAACACTTCCTTTCACAATAGACAAAAAAATAATAATAATCTCAGAATAAAAAAAAATCTCAGAATAAACATGACCAAAGACATTAAAGAGCTCTACAATGAAAAAATTTTAATCTTTAAAGAAAGAAATTGAGGAAGACATCAGAAGATGGAAGGACCTCCCATGCTCATGGTTTGGGAGAATTAATATTGTGAAAATAACCATCCCAACAAAAGCCATTTATAGATTCAATGCAATGCCCATCAAAATCCCTATGATATTCTTCATAGAATTAAAAAACCATCCTCATGGATTTGATTAAAACAACGTATATGCATGCATGAAACTCTCAGTAAATTATTTATTTTTTAAAAAGAAAAATAAAATAAGAAATAGGGGCTGGAGAGATGGCTCAGCAGTTAAGAGCACTGACTGCTCTTGCAGAGGATCCGGGTTCAATTCCCAGCACCCACATGGTGGCTATGAACCGTCCTTAACTCCAGTTTTAGGGGAATCTAAAGCCCTCTTCTGACCTCCACAACATTGCATTGACACAGGTGCACTTACATCCATGCAAGCAATACACTCATACTCATAAAAATAATAAATAAGATAATTAAAAAAACAATCCTCCAAACACTTTAGTAACCCCTTTGCTAAAAATCTTAAGGTTATTTTCACAAAAGTTCACAACACTAGGACTGGAGAGATGGCTCAGCAGTTAAGAGCACTGGCTGCTCTTGCAGATGATCCTGGTTTGGTTCAGCTATAGTCATAAAAACAACATGGTACTGGCACAAAAATAGACCTGTAGATTAATGGAACAAAATTGAAGACCCAAATATGAGTATGTGCAATTTCAGCCACCTGATGTTTGACAAAGGGGCCAGAACATTTACTGGAGGAAAGACAGCATCTTCAGAAAATGATGCTGGAAACTGGATCTCCACCTGTAGAAGAATGAAACTAGACCCCTATCTTTCACCTTGCACAAAAGTAAACTCCAGATGGATCAATGTGAAGCCTGAAACTCTGAAACTGTTAGAAGAGAACATTGGAAATAACCTACAAGATATAGGAGTAGGAAATGATTTTCTAAACCGGACATCAATTGCTCAGGAAATAAGGTCAAGAATCAACAAATGGGACCTCATTAAACTAAAAACTTTATGTGCATCAAAAAAGGAAGCAAGAAAGTGGAGCGAAAACCCACAGAGTAGGAGAAAATCTTCCCCAGCAATACATCTGACAGGGGTTTAACATCCAGAATATATAAAGAACTCAAAAAACAAAGAATCAAGAAAGGAAGTAACCCAATTAAAGATGGGCTAAGGATCTGAACAGAGAGTTCTCAAAAGAAGAAATAAAGATGGCTAAGAAGCATCTTAAAAAGTGTTCAACATTGTTAGTAACTAGGGAAATACTAATTAAAAACACTTTAAGATTTCATCTTACCCCAGTCAGATTGGCTAAGATCAAGATAACAAATGATACCAAATGATGAAGAGGATGAGGGGAAAGGGGAACACTCATCCACTGCTGGTGGGATTGTAAACTTGTGCAACTCCTATGGAAAGCAGTGTGGAAAACTCTTAAAAAACTAAAAATGAACCTACTATACGACCCGGTTATACCACTCCTTGGCATATACTCAAAGGACTCATCCTATTCACAATAGCTAAGAGATGGAAGCAACCTAAGTGTCCCTCAATTGACGAGTGGATAATGAAAATGTGGTTCATTTATATGATGGAGTTTTATTCAGCAGTAAAGATGAAATTTGCAGGTAAATGGGTGGAACTAGAAACTGTTATATTAAGTGAAGTAACACAGACTCAGAAAAAGCAAAACAAAAAAATGACATATGTTCTCCCTCAAATGTGGATCCTAGCACAAAATCCTTATAAGTGAGTATGTATCCAGATATATCTACAGGAACCAGAATAATGAGAAAGAACCAGGGAGGTAAAGGGAAAGAAGGAACCTGAGAGAGAAGAACACTAGGGGCAAGGTATTACTAAGGGAGAAATGGATGAAAATGGGGTTATTTAAATGGGAGGCTGGAGGGAGGATTATCCAAGGAACCTTGGGTATAAAGTGAAAGAAGGAGCTCAAGAGAGGTGGGACCATACAAGGTGGGTATTATCAAGGGAGAAATGGGGAAAATGGGTACACCATGGCAGAAGGGTTAGACAGAGGAGAGAGATAAATTATGCCTAGCTAGTCTTAAAAAACCAGAGGGAACCATATTGGTCCAACCACCTACTGACTTATCCCTACATGAGTCCGTGTGTATAGCTAAAGGCTACATAACAGGAAACAGTCCAGACAGGAGATACCATCCTTTGAGTTCTTGGCCAGGGTGGTCAAAGAGACTCCCAAAATTACTCAGGCTATTGCCACAGTCCTTGATGGCCTCCCAGAACTTGAAGGTAAGACCCCACTGCTAAAGACAGAACATACTTTGGACACAGGATTTGGAGCAGTAGAGCTTCAACTGACCTGAAACCACTTTCCCTGAAGGCTATCTCTCATTGCTTTGGAGAGAGCTATGAAGGTGCCAAGGGAAAACATCAATGGATGATAACCACATCAATGGATGATAACCACATCAATGGATGATAACCACATCAATGGCCAGTACAGCATACATCATTGGTGCAGTAGTGACACTTTTTTCTTGGGGGCAATCAACAGCCACCTAATTTGCTAAAAGCCCACTCAAAGGGAGGAAACTCGTGTGTGCCATTGTAAACATAACCTAATACACATGGCCAGAGTGGTCATAGATCTTAGAGAAAACCCCAAGACTGCCATATCCTTAGACTAATGTAATTTCTTACTATGTGCAAAATATGTACCCTTATACTTACAGGCAGATAGCCCAGTTACCACTCATCAAAGAAGCTCATTTTGCACCAGTCAGAGACTATTACCAAGTACCACAACTGGTCATACACAGACATTGTCTATGAATTGCCCAGGTCTAAGGGACACATCTACAATGCAAACTCTACACCTAAGGCTCATGTACCCCTTTTTATTATATAAAGAGATATGTTTAAGGGAAGTCTATGTAGGCCTCACCTAGTTTATTTTGATAGTACTATATTACACATTATTGTCCTGATTTTATTTTACATTTGACTTTTAGCCCTTAAAATGCCTTCATTCTAATGAATACTACTTTTCTATATTTATTTAGTAAGTAAAATGAACTCTAATAACTTTTAAATTCATTTATTTATTATTCTTATTTTATGTGTATGAGTGTTGTGCCTACATGTGTTTAAGGATACCCAATTCGTGCAGTGCCTGCATAGGTTAGAGGAGGGCGTTAGATCCTCTGGAACTGGAGTTACGGATGGTTGTTACCTTCCACCTGGGTCCTGAGATTCAAACTCAGGTCTTCTGCAAGAACAGCTTGTATGTGTCTGTGTGTCTGTGTGCCACAGTGCATGTGGAGAGTCACAGTATGATTTGTGGGACTAAGTTCTTTCTATAATGTGAGTTCCAGGGATCAAACTCGGGTTGTCGGGCTTGGTGGCAAGGGTCCTTACCCACTGAGCCATCTTGCCAACCCATCCATAAATATGCTTAATATTTGTAATGCTGGGTTCTTACTAGATTCTTGATTATATTGTTGTTTGCATCTTTTAAATTTTCATGGTATTTTAAGAAAATTTTATCACAGTGATGTATGCTGCTATTCCATCCAACAAAATTTAAGCTCTATGTTTAATTTTAAGCACTTTGCTAGGTATCGGAATACGGTGAGATTCTGATATTTTAATGATTTTTTACAATGCAAATTTGAGAAATTTAGCCATTTTTCTTATTGAGGATACTTAACATTATGCTTACTTAGATGCCTGTTCCTAATCTGGAGATGTTAAATGTGTGTTCATGTACTTCCCTAATCCTTATTTTGTCTTTCTTATAGAAAATACTAATTTAAAATTTTCTCTTGCCTTAACCAGCAGTGATTTTCTATGTTGTGTCTACCAGTAAATTTCCAATATTTTGTTCAACCTGCCTTTAAAAGAATACTGTCATTTTGTTTTTTAATCATCTGCTCTTTTCCATTTACAGTCCAGTGATTGTGATGGTATAATCCCACCAGGGGCATTGAAGCCAGGCCTCAAATCCAAATCCATACAGCTTCAACCCTGAGCCTTTACTTTGTTTTATGCTATTTTGGAAAGAAATATATGGAGAGTGGCAAATGGCCACAAAAATCTCCAGGACAAGATCCATGCAGTGCAAAGACAACAGGTATCACTGCCCAAACACTGCCAGTGAGCTAGTCTACCTGCAGTGAGTTAGAGTAAGGGAACCCTTGTATGGAATGAATTTTGTGTAAAGCCATGAGAGGCTGTAAATAGGACAAAGTCAAAAATTAAACAGACTCTATAATAGCAATGTGATTCAAACTTACCTGCAAAAACCGTGGGAAAAGATGATTTGACTCAATGCCAACATATATGTGCACCAGTTCCAAGAGCGAAATGGATTGGCAAATTCGCATGACGAGTCCAATAGCATAGAAAGTGTCAACCATTGAATCTGTGTTCAGTGGATTAAAAACACAGACACAGGCACTGTCACAACAAATCTATGGAGCACTTTGAAGTGAGATTTATTTTGTTTTTATTGTATGTGTGAAAATTTTCTCTAAGCTACTAAGTTGTAACTATGCAATACAGTGTAATCCAAGAAAGCACTTTGGTACTTATAGAAAACACATAAAATTCTCTCTGACTGATCCTCTTTCAAAAAGAAGTGAAAACTTACAAAGGCTTCACAGCCTGTAGTATCTGCTCCCAATATATAGGATTCTAAAGCAATTATCACACAAATCTGTTAGACTCTAAATAAACCCCTTGAAATAGACATAGGTCGGAGGCAAGCCTGATAAAAAAAATCTACTCTGCTAAGCTTTTCCATTGACAACAACAAAAAAATGAGAAAAGTTATTCTAAAGAAGTTTTGTGAAAATGGCACTAATAATGTCATGCCTCACATAACAGGTCTGTGTGGATCTGGGTCCTACAGACACTGGACTGCACCTTTGGGTTTGTGAAAAGCACTTAACTTGGGTCTCTGATTAGGAAGGACTTTGGAGTTTGCACAGCAGAGGACACAACTGAGATATTTCCCATAGAGAGATGACCCCTCTAAGGGACAGACTTGTTGCTTGAAGATTTTAAATGAAATCTTGCATGTTTGGGGACTTCTAGGAGCATGAGTTTTCTGTCTTTACTGCTTTCCACACAATTTTATGATCGTGATTGACCAAGCACTAAGGTTTCTTTCTCTAAGGTAGACACGATCGTCATCATGACCATCTCAGTCATCTCATGACTCCTGACACATCAGCAGTCCACGATCCTATCCTGCACCAGCTGTATCAAAGTGCCATCAGTTACACCACCCTGATCAATGAAGGCAGCAGGTGTCAGAAGTTCAAGATTTTAAATTGTTCTTGATCTACTAATTAACACATTAATTTGGGAATTGAACTGTTCTAGCACTTGGTTATTCTCAGTCTTCCTGTATTTATGTAATTCTAAGAAGCAGCTATAATAGGATAATTAAGAAATGAATATACTACTGCTGGAGCAGCTTTTCCCACTGAAGGGGTGAGGCAGCATTAGAGTTCTTGACTTGGGATACATGGAGTCAAGGAGCTACAATATGCCACTCAGCCTCACTTGTAACTTTCAAAGTATATGGTGCATTCCCACCAGCACAAAGAAACTCTCCTTATTGTGTATTTCCCTTTGCTTGAAAACTTTCAGTGCTCATAGTTGACATTCAAGCCTTGGGTTGTACCTTTAAAATTATTAACAAAGGCAAGAATTTGTAGATTTTCAGTAAGAACAAGCAACATAAAATAGTTTATGGAACCTTCGGAGATTATTTCTACAGAAGTCTGAATTGATGAGCACTGCATATTTTTTCCAGATGTGCTCTATGTGTTTGTTTTTAGCTAAACCAGCAGTTGCTCAAAGTGTCGAGTCACCCAGCAGTTAGAAATTGTGATGACACTTACTCATGTGGAGATAGAACATGAAGAGAATGTTGTCTTGAAAGTCATTTGGTGATTCATTTTTTTTTAGCAATTTGAAATTCTTTAACAATTTAAAGCAGCATTTTTACTTTTTAGGAAACTGAAGGAAGCTTATGGTTTAACTCCTACGTAGGTAGGACTAGTCATCTATGTGCTATACCATGTACATATTACTTCTTAAGGGATCAAATAGGCTCTTGCGGAGGGTAAAGTTTGTCCTTTACTAACTGGTAATCTCCAGCTAGCCAAAACCTGGGGAGTAAAAAGCAATGAAAGAATTTGGCTGATTATGCATTGCTCTGCACAAAATATTAGACTGGAATTTACAGATGTCCTCAAAATGCACCAAATTTGCTAAAGTTTGTGTAGAACCAAAAAGGAACAGTGAAATGGTACCATCCCAAAGACATGGCTTTGTTTTCACAGCAAAGTGCCAGCTGGGGGCAAGCCAATCCCTTTCCCTTGTCCCACCTTCTCCTGAAAAGTTTGGTCTTGAAATATGCAAGAAATACAGTTCCTGAAAAATATAAACTCTAGAGAAGCCAATGAGGTCAGGTGAGCTTTATACAAGTTTGAAGTTAAAATCAGCAACACTAGATGAAAACAAAGACTAAAGTTAAAAATCAAAGTGTTTAGGAGTTTTACCTTTTCCAAATGAAAAGAATCTGACCATCATATTTGTAAATATCCATGAGTGGCCACAGAACTGGATTAAGTAATAGATGAAAAGATACACATTTTTTCTATACCTATAAATACAGAAAAATATCATTAAACACATCTGTCATTGTACATGGGTCTTTTGTACATGTATATTGTATACTTACTAGTCAAAGTGAGCAAGCAAAAGACAACTGTTCATATTGGAGTCTTTAGTTAGGTTGTCCCTCCACACACATCCAAAGTTTGATGGAACTAACTTATATCTGTTAAGTGAGTCTACTGAGATTCCTTAAAACCCATTTCCATCTTTGATAATATTCTAACCTTGCCAAACTCTAACATTTGCAATCACTGCAAAGACAACTGCAACGGGGGGGGGGGGTGAGAACAGAGGAGGAACTGAAGGGCAGAAGGATTTGAGGTGCAACAGTGTGCCAGTAGCTCAGCTTGCTAAGTGGAGAACTTTAAAGAGAGCTGGGTTAGCCTGGTCTACATAGTGAGTTCCAGGCCAGCTGGCGCTACAGGAAGACACTGTTGCAAAAAGACCAAAAAAGAAAAGGAGCTGGCTTACAGTTATGAAGGGGAGTAATCAGAAATGGATAACTCAGTGATCAGACATGCACGACTTGAATGCATTTTGTTTGGGATTAGTATCGTCTTGCCACAGCCTCCTGTTGTATTTTATAAGGGAGGATGGTTTCCTTCATCAGACACACGTAGAAAGCAGTTTAATTGCTCAAGACCAAAAAGGGAAGTCAAGCTGGGTGCAGGTGGTGTGCCGTTGCTGGGAAGATGACTAAGAGAAGACTGACAGGTTCTAGGTCTGAGGAAGATGGAAAAGGCGGTGTTTGAAGGGCTCCCTGAGGGTCAGAAGGGTGGCCGGAGTGGTGTTCCTGTCAGCAAGCGTTTCTCTTAGCTGGAGATGTGAAGCCTCTGAGAAAGAAGACTCTAAGCTGGTAAATAGACACTGTGTGGCTAGCGGCATGAGTTTGGTCACTCAACAGATGACCCAAACTGCTCAAGAGGTTAGAAAGCGGAAACTCAACTCATGGGGATCGCCTGGCTGTGGGTAAACAGACTCATCGCCAGGCCCTAGTTTTCTGGAACCCCATGTGTCTTATGCAGCAGGACATTCTGAATATCATCCTGAGAAGCTTCTGACAAACACAAGGGCAAAGCTTTTGGCAAGGACAGAGTGGAAGCAAATAATAGCCAGTGCACAAAGAAAAGAGGTGGCCACACATTCTGTCCTTCCATTTCCTCATCTTAAAAACCCGGAAAACTGCAGAACCTCCATCCTAGGGTCGAGGAGAAAATGAAATTAGCTAACACCTGCCAAGAGGAGCCGCAAGAGCACAGGGTGCAGGATGCCCCTGGCGTGTGGTAGCCTGCCGTATGCATGGAACCGGGGGCTGCCAGCCCCCCAATCCCTCTCTCCCTCTCCGCGGCCGCCTCGCGCCCTACCTGGACTGCAGCCAGGCGGACAGCACCGAAGGCCCCATAGCCCCAGCCTGGACCTTCACCGCTGTCCGGAAGTCCCGGGCGCGTTGGGGTGGAGCGAGGGGCGGCCGCAGGACTGGCGAGGAAGGGCGGGGCCTTGCGATGCACAGCCAGGGCCAGTGAAGAAGAAAAAAAAAAAGGCTGAGGTGCAGCGACGGGCAAGAGATTAGAGATGAAAGCCAAGTTCTGCAGCGCTGCGCTAGGAACAGGCCAGGGCACAGACAGTGCCCAAAGATGGGCTAACCGAACTTGTCCACACCGGATTTACCAGCCTCTCACAGGCTCCTAATTGGAGGGTGGAGACCCCTAGACATTTACCTACCTGGGCGACTTGGGTGGCTTAACCCCATCCTGAAGCCTCTAAGGTGCACGGATTCGCGGGATGGGATTAGTGGACGCTTCTTCTAGAAACCTTGCCTAGGAGAGAGGTTGAGGAAGCTACCCTAATACCTTTTCAAACAGGGGCTTGACTCCTCTAGAAAGCCATCCCTGATACCCAGAGCCCTGGGTTTCCCCGCTAGCTCCCCCTGCTCCCAAGTGCTTTTATTCTCTGTCTGTAGCCAACACTCCTGCTAGCCTCTCCCTGATTTCTTGGGAGATGGCATCCCGATCTCCTGCTCGAGTGAGACCCACCTCTTGTTCAGCTGTGAAAATCAGGACCATTTTTCAGGCAATCTGTCCTACAGGTGAAACCCCCCCCCCCCCCCCCCCGCGAAGGCGCTTGCAGCAGGTGTGATAGTAAAACCCAGTTATTGGAGCTGAATGTCTCCATGACGCCAAAAAGGAAGCTGAGGCATGTTGAGAAATGTCACTAACCGCAGGCCACATAGCTGATAAGGAGCAATGTTCGAATGTTGGGTCAGCGTTTTTGCTCTTTTAGGCCATGGTTTCCTTCCTCATACCTGTCACCGCGTTCAGCTCTTGACATGTCCTCCCATTCTGTCCTCTCACTCTGTGCCCTCAGGCAGGGGCAACCTCTCCTGTCCTGCCTCGGTTGGCTTCTCACACTCCCTGCCAGCTGGTCCACTGCCTGTCCTTACAACTTTATTCTCTCCACTGCTTTCATCATAGTTTAAGAAAGTATTCAAGCTGTGTGTGGTGGCTCATGCCTTTAATCTCAGCACTCCAGACACTGAGGCAGGAGGATCACCACGAGTTCAAGGTCAGCCTAGGCTACCTAATGTGTTCCATGCTAGTCTGGGCTGAGACTGAGACCCTATCTCAAAAGAAAGCAAAGGAAGGAGGAGGG